ATATATATATATATAATATTAGAAATTATATTATAATGTGGAAATTTTTTGTTTTCTGAAGGATCAGTGAAAGCGATAGACAGATACATGCGGACGGAAGACTGATAAAGTGTAGCAACGCTTGTATGCATAATAAACCGAATGTAGGTGACGGGTTAACGGCTTCTTTCTAAACAATGTTCTGTGCCAACTGATAAGTGCAACGATCGATCAGAGCACATGCTATTTTTGTCTTGCACTATCACGAAACCTTATAGCTATATAACCCTACCACTATGCTCGGACTCGTGAAAGAATAATCAACTGCAGCTCTCGAATATAGGTGAATAGGAATTCACAAACAATGGTCGGAAACAACACAAACATTTTTTTTCAACGGAGAACAAAAAACAAAGTTTAACTAAAGCAAAATTTAACTAAAGTCTGATTAACATAAAATTCTAAAACTTTTAATAGTCAAAATTTATATGTATAAATGCAATATTGCGTAAATTTGAAAATATTACGTTACTAAAATTTAAAATTTAAAATTTGAAAAATTTACTGAGACAATGACATAAAGTAAATCTTAAGATAAGTACTTTACTCTTTTTTTCACACTTTAATATTATCATATTCTCGTAGACTATAAAAAATTAATGTATACCGCTTTGATCAACGATCGTTCGGAATTAGCTCTGGTCTTCGAGTTTGGTTTTCGTCATTCTCAGCGTAAATGCTTTAGTTGTGAAACCTATGCCGAGAAATCTGCTGATCACGGCTGCTGAACAAATACAAACAGAAGTCGACATGGAATGTTCCTGTTGTAAAAATTAGTCGGGTGCCATATGCTAATTTGATCAAAGCACTTTAGCTATTTGCACTTTTAGACTGTATTTTTTAGCGTTAATAGAAACAAATAATATTAAAATTGTTTTATCTTTTCATTTAATTTCAATAATATATAATATATTCAGTATCTCTCATTAAATTAGAAAACAGATTCGATCATTAGCAATTACTACATAAACATGTCTCTTTAGCAAGATTGTTTAGAACGTTTTGATAATTTAGGTCACAGAAATAAGAAAACGTATAATAGAATTCATTGCTCTTATTTTAATTATGCTCATTTTTTTCGTCGCGTGTGTTAAAAAATTTCTTTGCATGCAAAAGAACAATGACCTAGAGATAAAATAACGTAGGAAAGATTGCAAAGTTGCTCGAAATATAAAGTTTTTTTATCCGCGAATAACCTTAGAATTTTCAGCAAAGACTAAAGTTCATTCGAGGTCAGTCAAAATTGGGTTGGCTGATTCGTTTTT